AACAAAGAATTAGCAATTCAAGTTCAAAATAGATCAACAAACATTGATATTTTATAAAAAACAATGGACAAGAATCACAAAGAAAAGCGAAGGCTTTCTTTTACGATGCCTTGGGTTTAAACAGAATTCACTGTTCGCAAAATACCTTTCGTATATGGATTCTTAAGGAATTGTGTAAAATCTCTTTGGTGATTATGATAACTCAACAGATATTTACATATCAAGGTTTAGTTTTCTATCAACGATTGATCGGATGCTGAAACATCTAGTCAACTAGTGACCAACTGTTTTGATTTTCGCCGTCTGTCACAAACGGATGCTTCAGCATCTGATCACGGCCACAACCGGATGTTTGACCGGTGTTTTAACAAATCAATAGCTCGGAATAGTTTTTTTTTCCAAACATATAGCTTGAGATACTGACACTATCAACTAGTAACCAATCAACCAAACGGCATAATCCCAAAAACACTTAATAAAAGCCCCACTCCAGATGAAAAATAACTAGGGGTGTTCATTTTTTGTTTGGTTTTTATAAAAAAAATAATTAAACCGAAAAAAAATTGAAAAAAAAACCAAAACCGAACCGAAACAGGGTCAAACCGACCGGTTTCGGTTCAGTTTTTTAGGGAAAAAACCGGTTCAAACCAGCTTGGCTCCGTTTTCCCAGTTTGGCTTAGTTTTGGCCTGGTTTTTTCAGTTTGGCTCGGTTTTGACTCAGTTTTTTTCCGGTTTAGGTTCGGTTCGGTTCGGTTTTTTGGTTTTTCAGTTATAAAACCGAAACCAAACCAAACCGGTTGGTTTTTTCAAAATTTTAATCAGTTTTTTCTTTCGGTTCAATTTTTTCATTTATTGTTTTCCAGTTTTCTCGATTTAATCGGTTTTTCAGTTTTTTTGTTTACCTCTAAAAATAACAAGATATCAAAACAAGACTTGCCTTTTACATGCACGCATGCATATCTTAATCAATAAAATTAAGAAGAAAAGGAAAAAGAAAAGAAAAAAACATACATTTTGTTGACAACTTTCTGTCTAACTTCAGGAGTCAATGCTGCTCTCCAATCCTGGCTTTGAGTCGCCATCCCTTCAACTTGAAAACCCTTAAGACATTATTCGTCTATCATGCAAAAACCCCACCAAAAGAACTAGAAAAAAAACACAAGCATATATTAAATAATATAATAACGGATTCAAAATAAGAAAAACAACAGAATACCAAGTCTTGATAACAGGAAAAATATCCAGAAAAAAATCTTATAGGACAGGGTTTTTGAAGAAAAACAAAAGATGGTATGGTGTATACACACTCTTGTTTTTTGAAGCAGAAGACAAGTGAGAGGAAGAAGATTATTTAAAGTGGATATATAGATGTGGTTTTGATTCTTTGTTTTCTTTTTGGATTTTGGACAGGATAGACAGGACTGTTTTGTCAAAGGAAATCTACGAGAATTTGGGATTCGTTACGTGAAGACTTAGAGAGTGTGTAGATATTACGAGAGAGAGAGCTGGTTACACGTTGTCCGGTGTGCACGTTATGCGACCACGAATAGGGTTGGTGCCATTCGAAGCAGCTTCTCAGCAAAAGAGGAGGTTAAGTTATATATAAAGCCCAGTGAACCTTGGGCTATACAATAAGGATACATAGCTTGCTCCCTCTAGCGAGTCTCCACTTAACTATTTTCAAGATTTGAATCTAAGATATTTAAGTAAATATTTCAAATAATTAACTATTGATGAGGAATTCTATTTGGGAATTTTTTTTACTATTATTATGTTCATGTGGATATGCTTGAGTTAGTATGATTTAGAGGCATATCAAGATGAGATTCACTGTTTGGGTCTGGTTAATTAATGAGAAGCCATTTGATTGTTAGATTGGAAAACTCATAAGTGATTATCTTTCAATAATATAGTTTTAAGAAGAAATTTATATTATATTGTTTAAGTTTTTATTGTTAATTAGGTTTTTATTTTATGCGAGTTTTAAAAGTTGCAATGGAAGTAGTATTGAATTAATATATATATATATAAAGTGTTTTATTAAAAAAATAATGATATGCATTCCAGTAAAGACGAGGCAAATTAAAAGTTAACACAATTATATTTAGGTGAGGTTCTATGCATGATAATTTGGAGATCATCTTCAAAGCATTGAGGGATATAAGTTATGCTCTGTAGGGCTATCACGTTGCTCTTTCCAGGCAGAAGCACCAGCTCCTGAAAGATCAACACGACGAATTCTATCAGGGGGGAATTGAACAGATTGGAAAGTGAAGGTCCCCCCTGGTTTGAAGCATGCACCAACAGAGAGGGGCCTGCGACTTACCAAGCTGTCCAGAGTTGGATATATATATGAATTACGAGCACTTGCAAGCCAGTAATTGTCACGCATGTAATTGGTCTGAGAGTTATTAGAGATGAATGTCTTCAGCACTGTGAATAAGATGAGCTTTTACATATGAAAAATCAGGTTTATTAATCTTTATTCAATAGAAAAATAAGTCAAATTAAAACTGCATTTCAATTCATTGTTTTGATATTAAAAACAACTTGATTACGTGTGAGTTAAACTCCCCAAGCTACTCCAGGCCTGCCAAAACTTGTTCTACAGCTTTCCAGATGCAAGTGCCTGCCATTCATACAACAGATTATCTATTATTTTTGGGATACACCACACAACTCTCCACTAGGTATCAAATGATCCCAAAAGGATTCCAAAAGGGTTTGCTTCAATGCCCTTTTCTCTTTTCATAACAGCTCGCTCTTTTTTTGTGGGGATTTTGGTGCCCCCCTAATGCTCGCGACCTGGGAAATCTCCTATCGCAAAATTTGCAATCGTGTTGTCTCATCTCTGCAGGCTGCTTCGCATCCTCATCTTTTGAATCCGGTGAAGCCTTGGGAGAATCAGGACCCAACAAATCCAAAATGTTGACTTCTTTCTTTTTGGATCTCTCACCACTGAAAAAGCAAAGGATCTGATTCAGGCTCCAGGGTGGCTCGTCGAGAACCTTTTCTTTCATTTTTTTCTGTCCTCAACATCCGTCGTCAATGAACCCCTCTCCATACATTTTTTTTTTTAAAATAATATTCTGGATATACTTTGAGCCCTCACAATAGTATAGTTGCAAGCAAGATAAAACATTTATAGACTGAACAATGAATTCTCTTGTTTCATATATAGAAAGATATGTTAATTGCAATTGCTTGAAAAGGCAACGTACTTAAGTAAATGCATGCTAATGAAGATTTTTGAGAGCCCCCTAAGAGCATTGGTCAGCAATAATTCTCAAAATTAATAAATCTACTTACAACCTTTTTTAATAAATCAACTGACAACTTAGACTACTGCGTATCCTTAAAAGTTTTGATGTGTTAGAATTACTTTCCAAACAAGTGTTTTTGTTATCTCACTCTGTGGAACTTTGCCTACTCCTCGACAATAAATATTTCGCATGAATTAGGTTTAACTTAATCTCTGTCGCTTGTTTTTGTTTTTTTTTTTCTCGATAAAATTGGAAATTTTGCTGGTGCAAATGTTCTTCAAATCTGAATTTAATAGTCCGTTCCGTAAATGGTTGTTGCAGTGACCATAAAATCTGGATATGCGTGGGTCCAAATTAAGAGTATATATATGATCTTAAGGGAGAACCTAAATGTTGGTCCCACTAATCCAGTGGTCTATAATCTTTTTGAGGTTTTTTATTCTTGTTAATCTTTTTAATTTCTCGTTTAACATTTACTTTTTTTTTTTATTTATGTGGAGTGTCCGGGCCAGCTTGCGCGCACCACGACTAATCCCCACGGCCCACTGAATATCCTGCAAACCCAGTAGGCATGTAAGGCACCGCGGGGGTGACAGGCGTGCACGCTAGGGCTTGAATCCAGGTTCAGTGGAAGGAGACAAGCCCCTTCCACCACTAGGCCAAACACTAGTTTGCGAATATTAAATTACTTATATTCTAAAATATTCTAAAACATTTACTTATATTAACTAGTAGAAGGCTCCCATGTTTTGGGCAGTTAGCTCCGACAATGTTGTGAATATTAAATTATTTATGATCTTATTCTAAAATATTAAGTTCAAGGAGATTTTTTTAGATGAGAAATTAATGCAAAGAAAACCAGTGATAACTATCTTTCATTTCCAATCAAGAAATCATCGAAATACCATTGTTGGTAAGATGAATAGCATGAATTTATGAACTGTAATAATTCATAAACACAGCAGAGCTAGGAAAGTTTTCGAGATGAGGGTTTTCCTAGGAAAAGGCAAAACTTAAAATTGACTAGTTTTGGCCTTAAAATTTTAAATTATTCAAGAGAAAGTTAAGAATTGTTTTTTTAAGAACCCTGCCCTGCCAGCTTCTTTAATTCTGTCTGTTTTTTTTTTTTTTGAAAATATTTTTAAAATACTTAATTTTTTTATTTTTTATTTTAAATTAATATTTTTTTGATTTTTTAAATTATTTTGATGCGATAATATCAAAAATAATTTTTTAAAAATAAAAAAATATATTATTTTAATACTTTTCTAAATAAAAAATATTTTAAAAAATAATTGCAACTACACTCCTAAACAAGCCACTTAATTAACAAACAAATTTTTGATGAAAACATTTTAATTACTATGTTATTTAAAAAAAAAAAAAAAGATCCACACATGTAAGTTAACTAGAAAAGAAATTAACTTAGCATATATTATTTTAGCATGTATTCTTTTCAGAAATTGGTTTAAACCATCATCAATGTTGTGGATTTCTTTGCTAATTAACGAATTAATGATGAGAATAAATTGGTTTATTTATCAACCTGTCAAGATGAAAATAAAATCGAACTCTGAAGGGAGGAAAAACACAGACATGAACAGAAGAAGAAATTCTTTCTAAAAGGAACTGTGCATTTCGAATTACAAATTACTAACAAGGAAAGAAACAAGAGATGGACAAGACAAGTATAAGATGCATATAATATGCTTATTAAAGACTGAGAGAAATGGATAATCAAAGCTTAAGTGACAACTCAAGGCCTTTGCCCTCTTCCTTCTGCTTCAGAGAAGTGCTGGTAGAACCCCCAAGGTCGATGGCATTAGGAACCATGCTAGCCAAAGATTGAAGCCCGCCATTTTGCAGTTGGTGCAATCTAGGTTGATGGTTCATAATAGATGCCCTTGATAGCCCCGAATAATGGTCACCATTGGCAATACCACCGCCACGGAACCAGTGGTTATAGGGCGGTTTATGAATCATAGAGCTCATATCCACACCTAGGGTTTTGCCAAGGGAAGGATAATGCATAGGAGACCTCATTGCCATGTCCCAGAATGGGTATGGCATGAAGGTCATATGCTCATTCAGCAATTTGTCTCTCTTCTCTATGGCTCTCTCCCGTTTATGGGCATTTTGATGCCCTCCTAAAGCTTGTGAGGTGGAGAACTTGTTTTTGCAATACTTGCATCTGAACATTCTCTTACCTCCATTTGATTTTACCTCAAAGAAATCCATCAAATTCAGATCAAGGTTATTTGATCCACTATTATCCATATTCTCAGAAGCCCTATTTCGGTCAAGAGAAGACATGGCAAGAGTACTGATAACAAAGGTTTTACGCTAATAATGAAGTGAATTTGGGTGTGGCATTGAAAGATGTGAGGGTGTGTGGTATATATATTGTGGAAGAACTAATATCATATCTTCCATGCATGGAAATATATCTGATATTGCATGTATCCATCAAGAAACAAAAATGGTAAGCACCTAATCAATGGTTTTGACTTTTGACTTTTTGTTTGTCTTTGATGCACAGTTGTAAAATCTGATCTGGGATCAAGCAAGTTCATGGTTCATAAGAATCCACTCCTATTTAAAAAAAAAAAGAATAAAAAAAAATTAAAAACGATACATACTAGCTTATCCTAATAAATGACTTTGACTTTTAACTTTTTGTGCCTTTAATGTATAGATATAAAATCTAATCTGAAATAAAGTAAAGTCATAGTTCATGAAAATCTACCCCTAATTTTTTTTAAATATTAAAATAATACTGATTTGAATAAAAATTCTAATGTTTGAGATTGATTGTTTTTAAAATAATTTTTATTTTAAAATATATTAAAACATTTTTTTATTTTTTAAAAATTATTTTTGATAGTAATGCATTAAATGATCTAAAAATATATTAATTTAAAGTAAAAAAATAAAATAAATTTTATTTTTTAAAATATTTTTAAAACACAAAAAAAATGTTAATGTTTAGTTTTTGTATTGTATTTGATTCAATTTTTTTTCCAAAGGTTATTAATTTGGCAGATATATTACTATGAGCTTTCCATTTATTACATGATATTAATTTATTTAAAAAAAATTAACATTGAAAATTAAATTTAATAAATTTTTTTAAGTTAATTACCAATTCCATATTAAATTCCCATTTCCCTTTCTTATCCCTCTTCAACCATCCATTAATTAAAGTTAAAAGTTAAAACCATGACTTTTTTATGGTAGTTCTTAGGGTTTAGGAGAAAAATTACTGTGTCCATATATGTAAACCATAATTTGTAAACTTAAAACCGTCGATAAATTAAAATATCTTTATATAAATAGCTAAATACCATTGGATCCATTGGTTAAAATTTGACCTAGCGAAGTTCAGTAATGTGCTAACATGGACTCAATTGAGAATAGCAATTTCTTGAAGATATATATATATATATATATATATATATATATAAATTGTAAGAAGTGTCCATTTTTATTAATTGACCCATCCAACTATTCTTACTTATTAATTGAAAAAAAAAACTTTGCTTAATTATCTCAATTTATGTCCTAACATATATCAAATTTCGAAATTGAGGTGTGCTGACCCATTTTTATTTATTTATTTATCATAAAGTATTGAACCCTCTCGATTTCCTTTCATAAAACATGTTCGTAATTTGGTTTTAAGTAAATCCAACGGCCCTCCAAAACTAAAACATCAAAATTAGCAAGTGATTGTAACTGCCAAATAATCAAATACTAATTACTTTTATACCATACAGCTACGTTCTTCACCTAATCAAATATTAATTATTTTCATACTATAAATTGTCAAGCTTCTACTATATTCATGTCTTAATCAATAGGTAAAAAACCTAAATATTTATACTAATGCAGTTTATTAATTATTCAACATAAAATAAAATAATAATATATATCCATTATCCAACATATATATATATATATATATATATATATATAGACATAACCATTTGAATTAATATTTATTAATTATTCAACATATTGTTTTTTCTCTTTTGTTTGAAATTTAAATAAGTCTCAAATCCATTCTAATACAACATGATGATCTCTTTAAGATGCAATTATCCTTATTTAATTTCAACAAAAATTGTTAACTTACTATAAAAGGACTTTCCAAATTATTTTGTAATTTTTAAATATCTTAATGGACCTTCCATACTAGTTTTTTTTTTTTTAAAGTGAGATTATTCCCTGACCGGAAAGGAAAAACATTTGTTAACTTTCTATGCACATAATTCTACCACGAAGGTATGGAGATGGAGATAATTAATTCATGGCCGGAGCCACCCATGTCCCCTTTCTTTCTTCCTTGGTCCGGTGTACTTGTGATAACCTGTTATTTACTTTACTGGATCTATCTTTTTTAAAAATAAATAGATATAATTATTATATTTGGTGGATTCTGGATTTGACTAGATTTGATTTTTCTCTCGTTCATGTATACGTTACTAATTACTATTTGTGCAATATAAACTTTTTCTTGTTTTTCTAAGTATATATGTCATACAAGGATATACATTCTGGTTGTAAAATCTTTTATAATTATGCAAACAAGTCCTTGATAAGAAATTTCACTATTTTTCTTAATATTGCAACATTCAGATAATATAGGCACTGAATAAAATTAAATATTTTCCCAGAGATGGGCCAACGTTTTCTACTATATATCTCATTAGGCCTACTATCATCCCTTATAGAAAAACACTAAATGGTTTGGAAAATATACTGAAGCTCTGCAACATTTTTCACACACTCATATTTGACTTTGGATTGACGAAGTGATTTTTTTAAACTCTGTTCATTCAAGGTTTTTTCTCAATAAACTTTTTTATGGCTAAATTTATGGTCAGCTTTGATTTGTTAAATAACTATAGGATTGAAAGATACATACCAAAATAGAAAAAGCAGGTAAAATAAATAGCAACTTCAAATTTTGCACAAAAAAATCCAATTTAATTCATATATTTTGTAATTTTTTTGCAGTTTCTTTGGTTTTTTTCAATTTTAATTTTAGTCTATTTTTTTTCAGTCCATAATTTAAAAGAAAAAAATATCGTATAATCTTGGTGGGGGAGGGGGAGAGAGAGTTAGCTAACATCAATTTAAGTTATATAAAAAAATATTTTAATGTTAATAAATTTTATTTAATAAAAAAATCTCAGGTAGTTTTTTTAAATTTAAACTTAAGAAGTTTGGTTTGGGTTGATTCTGGATTTATGAATTGATTTTTGAGTTATTTGAGGTAACGTGTGAGTTTATTAAAATATATAAAATATTTTTTAGATGTTTTAAATTTAAAATCAATTTCTAGATTGAAGAATCGCCAACTTTAATTTTTCTACCATCATTATAGGCAAAATTTGAGGAGAAACCCTGCATGTCTAGGCTTCATAGTTTTTTCCCCTTTTGTTTTTTCATTTTAATCATATCCTTCATAGTTAAGCTTCTATTGAATTTTCTTATTGGCTTATTATTTTTTAATTTTTAAAAATTATTATGATGTTTTTTTTTTTTTTGTAATGGAACACACTTTATGTTTTACTTTGTTTATAAATAAGATTTTAACTCTCTCTCTCTCTTTTTCCCTGATATTAGGAGTCATTCTTTATATATAATCTTTTATTCTTTATATGTAATCTCTACTTAAATTTTATTCAAATCATTTTTCTAAGTATATCTCTTTATTATCGTTTTATTAAATAAAAACTACAAATAAATAAATTTATTAAATATAATAAAATTCATAACTTGTATTTCAAGATTAGATATTTACATTCATATTTATTTTTCAACTTTCTATTTTAGTTTTTGGTTAAACATCATTTAATAATAATTTTTTAAAATATTTATAACCTCCATGATATTTTTTAATTTTTAATTTTATTCAATCATTTATATACATGTTACAAGACATATCTATTAATTTTTTCAATTTAATTTTTAGTTATCATTAACAATTTCCTTTTATATTTATTGATATTGATATTTATTTTTTCATGTTGAAAAAACAATTATCCAACATGCGAAACATGATAGCAACTACTTTTTCAATCACTGATTCACTGTGATAATATGATATACAAAAATTCTGAATTATTGATATATAAATGAGATAATAATTACGGAAAATGAAATCAGACTCATATCGCTTTCTTTTACATCTTCTTGCAATTCCATCCACGTTTTTTCATTTGCGAAAATGAAATTGCATGTAAGAAAAACTTTACACTATTTTTTTTTTCTCATTTTCTAAACAGTAATGTCAAACAGGAAACATGCCTGGAGCTGAAGCGAGAAAATGACTCCAAATGTGATATAAAACGAATCTAAATTGGGGGGGGGGGGGGGGGGCACACTGCGC